CAGAAAATTATTGTGGGTTTTAAAATAGTGATGAGTTAATTAAGATTTAGATTTTTTTGATTTATGATTTACGATTTATTTTATTTTGCCTTTGCCACAGGCACATGATGGAAGACTAGAAGAAAGCTTAATTATTTCAATCAGGATTTTATGCTAAAATAAATATAGTGCAATAACAAGCTGACACCATGCTTATTACCAAAACAATATTATTAACACACTACTTTGATAATTTCCTCTTGTCTTATAAAAAATATGCTTTAAATTTTATAACTGACGTTTTTCTTTGTTGTTAACGGCAAAATTTACAATTTAATAAAAAAAAACTTAGAAATAACTTTTATTTTAGGGTTTTAACTTAGTCTCAACGGATTTGACATATGTTCGGCGACCCCTTTTCCACGTTTTGAGCCGCTTAACGCTTCTTAAGATTAATCTCCATTTCCAGGATTTTAGGATTATAATATGGACAAGCATTGGAGGGAGAGCCAGATACAATTAGCTGCACCACCAAAACGCTAATACCCTAAGTTTAATTTGAATCGGTTATTGATTGGTCAAAATGTTCTTACTCTCTTACAGTATTTTCACTATTTACCTCTTTTTCTTTCAAACTGGAAGATATAGAATGATAATTTTCATTCGATTAAAAACAATATACATTATTGATTAAAGTGATGAAATTATTTAAAAATCTATCCATAGTTGCTGGGGTAAAATTTTTGCACTACGTCCACAAAATAATGTTTATACGACTCTCTTAGTCTGTTGTTTTAAATTAAATTAAGCCAGTATTGCATGCAAATTGTTGAACTATTTACATTTAAATTTAAAAAACTGAGGTCAATTGATTTGTTGATTTATGCCATTGTAAAACTTTAACGTAAAATGATAATAAGTTCAGAGATTACAGCTCGACCCATTTATAAAAACATGGAGAACTATTTCGTCGATATCAAGCGACAAGGATTTAAGAGACTGTTTTTACGCTTACTTATTCTGTTTTGCTATCTTGCGAATGAAAAGAGGTCATCAAAAGAGCCAAATGAGCACTTACAGAACAAGATCTATGCTCAAAGCGGATGGAAGGGGAATCCTTGAATTTCTTGCTATTTGAAAATCAAACCGTCAATTTTGTTATATACCGCAGTATATAACAAAATTCAATTGGGTAAAGTAAATGCGAATATTAAAAAAAATATGACCTTTCATTGAGTATGAGTCGTTTCTGTCCTGACTATTCAAAACTTTCGTGTTTATCTGTTGGTTCCGAAAGAATTTGTTGAGCTTTGGAATGAAACTGCTAAGTTATAGATTGTTGGAACACGTTATTATTTTTGATCAATATCAAATTATGAAAATAGTTAAACATGAAAGAAACTATATTGAAGTAGGCTTACAGAGCAAATAAATTTTATGATAAATAAGAGTTTAATTGAATTAAATGTTTAAAGTCATTGCTTTCTAATCAATATAGTTTTCTTATGCAAATTATGATGTTTTTAACACTAATGCAGAAAAAAGCTTCAGTATCGATCTTTATAATTAATTGTAGACGTCAAGACGGGTTTGTAGAAGGGGGCCCATTAATAAAAAACACCCCGGAAATTGTAGAGCAATATTAAGGCAGTTTTCCTTTTTAAAAACACTTCTTGCTCGTTAAACGAAGCCCATCAGTCTGTCTTTACACAATCCATCGATTCCATTTATATGCTAGAGTGAATTTCGGGCGATAAAAGGCAACCTGTGTGTTATTAGTTTTCTATCTCTTTTCTTACTTATTTTCAAAAACAATCCGATAATTTTTCCAAAAAACGTTCTATCGAAAGCGTTTTTCAAGAATTTAAAAAAAAGATTTTATGTATCGGCGAACCTAATTCCTTAATTATTTATTTTTTAAACTTAATGCCATTAGCAATTTAAATCATGTAGCTTAACCAATTACATTTTTAAAATGTATGCTATTAACAATTTAAATCATGTAGCCTAATAATTTACTTTTTACACTTTATGTCTCAAACAATTTCAATCGTGTAGCTTTACTATTTACTTTTTAAAATTTATGTTATTAGCAAATTTAATCATGTAGTTTGGAAGTTTCTAATAATTTTAGCTTGCCTTTCTTCGCTGGTTTTGTTTGCCAGTTGTATTTTGGGGGGGTCAGGGATGCATCGCAGACTGAATATTATCTCAAAATAGAAGTAGTGTACATTTTTTTGAAACACCAATTTCATTCACTATAATATTGGGAAACTATACATGTCAGATATATTTTATCGGCGTTTCAGGAAAAATCATCCAAAAAATAATATCTCACAAGAAAGGTTTAGGTTGCAAAATGACAGGACAACGCCAAAGTGAATGATAATTAAAAATTAATTATTCTTTTTATGTAAGGTCTTGGTTGAGACGAAAAAGCTAGTGTCCCGAGCGGGATTTGAACCCACGACCTTCGCCTGAATAGGCCGCTTGAGCTATTGTGACTTCGATCCCCTCGGACACCAACTCCACATCTCAACCTTTCAAATCTTCCCTCTTTTTGCCATTTTTCAAATGTCGTGTAATCAGGATTCGATTCTCAGCGACTGATAGGGTACGAATCTCGCTCGTGACATTAGCTTTTTCATCTCAACCAAGACCTTACACAAAAAGAAAAATTAATTGAGTTGATTAACGTGGTCAATTAGATCACTAAACATAAATGGAATAATTAAAAAGCTGTAGCGCTTTAAAGAGGGTAAAGCATACAGGCGAGGGAAAATATGTGGTGTCATCAAATTCACGTTGTAGCACGCCAACTTTAGACTTTATTAAAAAAAATATGCACGCAGTAAAGTTTAAAAATTGAACAACTCTGGAGAATATATCTAAGTATAGTCCGAGTCTTAAATCAAATTGGTAGACGTGGGGGAAGAATATAGTGGGATTATGGCGGTACCACCTTGGTGACATCTTGGAGTTTCCAGCCGGAAATCTCATATTCAAATAAACGTATAGAGGCGTGCTTCTATGCTCCGGGCCGAAATCATCACCATGTGATATATTCAGTGGGCTCAGGGGAGGAATATGTGGGGTGCCAAGGGTCCCCGGACGTCCACACGGTCCCAAATGAAATAAATGAAATATTATATACCTAGATTACGGTTCATCCAATATTCATGGTGAGCGAGAACCTGGGACAAATCTAATTTAGGCTGAGTCGGACCCTGAGTCCGGCAAGAATCAATCTCTTGCTTCCGGCCCAGACCTTTAATCACATCTCTCACTTCCTCTCCCGCCTCCGCATTCCAATTTTCATTTCCTGCTTCTCCACCTGGGGGTCTTTCAATATTTTAAAACGTCTTTTTGCCCTGTCTCCAACTGGTTCGTTTTTCCTTATCTTTCACGTCTCGTTTTTCTTTCAGAAATTATGGGAAGCTCATTTATAACGATGATTTATGAAAAAGGGCCCAAATATTACGTGTCAAAACAGAAGACCGTAAAATCCTGGAAAAAGGAGGGCAGCACAGGTTAAGAGGCGAAAGACGCTTTGATTTAAACTTGGTGTTGTACGAAAAACAAATTTTTTGTTTCGACTTTCATTTTACCTAACAATAAGTATGTAACATATTAACAATTCTATGAGTTATTTCATCTAATTGAACAATATTTACTGTTTTCTATCCAAACTTATTAAAACTTTATGTCAAATTGAAAAGAAAAAGACATTAAAAATTTAATTGAACAAATACGTGTTACCAACTAACTTTAGCATTAACTTTAAGAGGACTGAGTGAGAAAATAAATCAAGAGTTTACCTAACCGTTTTGAGAAATTTCCTCAGAGGCTTCTCAAATTTCAGCCCCAAGGTCTATTTATTTAATCCGTTTTCCAATTTGGAAACTCCTTGGCACACTATATTCGAATCCGTGCGAGAATTAATTGCAAATTTACAACGGAACGTCAGGTTTATATAGATTAAGACAGCTTGAGAATCCAGTTTATCTCGAATTCAAGTAATTCACCCCGCGAAGGATTTAATCCTGGTTACATTTATCCCTATTCTAAAATTAATAGACCAATCTAATTTACATCCAAGGTTCTATTTAATACACCCGAGAGAAGGGTTGGTGGAATAATTCTACAATTATGATGGGCATAAGGATGCGCAATCTACACTGCAAATTGCAGACAAGCAGCATACTGAAGTTGGTAAAAATATATTTTATTTTAAAAAGAGAACACATACAAGTTACATTTTGAATAGTACGCAAAGTGCAATGACATGACTAATGCCGTCTGCCAGATGAAGTCAGTAATATTATTTCTAATTCTGTTAAGAAAAGCTTTTTTAACTTGAGAGAGTTTTTAAGTTTAATGTACCACTGTGCTGGAAACCTCAAGCATCCTGATTAAGACTATTGATTGATAATAAGATTGAATATTGATTGACATGGAGTGACACCTTTGGTAAATTTCAAATTGAAAAATAGATTAAATTCACTAATTCGTGGTCCGCTTGACCAATTAATATATTACAATTAATTAAGGTTTTTAGTTGAGATAAAAAAGTCAATGGCACGAGCGGTATTCGAACCCACGATCTTCCGCTAGACACGCCGCTGCTCTACCACTTGAGCTATCGTGACCTCGATCCTCGAGTTTTGAAAAATGGCAAAAAGGAGGGAATACTCAAAAGGTGGGGTTGAGATGGGAAGTTGGTGTCCGAGTGGATCGAGGTCACGATAGCTCAAGTGGTAGAGCAGCGGCGTATCTTGCCGAAAAAAATTATTTAAAAAAAATTATTTATTTTAAAAATGTATTGATATTCTTTGCAGCCGTACTAATTTCTGTGAGTGCTGAAATGCTTTGGTCAATAAAGTTATGCAATAAAACAATTATGTTTAGGGTTTAATAACCCCACACAGCATTGGCAAAATAAAAATGCATGGTACAATCTGATGTCACTAATAAATAAACCCTTGCTGGTTTACATTATACATTTCATGCTTATGTCACAGATTAGAGTTGGCCAAGTGAAAGTGGGAGAATACATATTCCAAATGGAGAGGGACTTACCATCGACCTAAAGGGACGGCTAAGTGGAATTGCTTACGTTGAGTACTGAGGTAATTTATGTTTCAACTGAATAATTCTAACTATTGATAATCCTTTTATTTTGGAAATACGCTGAGATGTTGATTTGTTCAAGGACGACCAAAAGGAGCAATATGAGAAGAGTACATCACAATGAAGAACTACAAATCGCATAGATTGTTGAATTACAGATTTTCAGCAAGGAAGGACGATCAGATCATAATCGATATATGTCAGTTCGAGCCTGCCTTAAATTACAAGAAAATACTTGTGAATATATATTTTCTAGACAATGATCAATAAACTTTAAGAAACGTTATCGGTTATTCCTCTGATTTACTGAAATTGATTATTTAAGGTAAAGTTAAGAAAAACACGCAAAGTTTGATGCACACTGACAGGCAAAAAATTCCACCCAATTGATTTTTTATTTATTTTGTCGATAAAAGAAAATTCTGTCCTTAATTTATCTTGTTGGTTTTACAAATAAATATTTGTTTATGCTAGGATTTAAATTGGGAATATGAATTAGTCGTAAACACGTAATTCTTAATCCAAAACAAGGATAAAGAATTTTGTAGTGTTTAATTTTTACGGAATTTAAAATGTTTATTCAGTCTCATTTGAATTCTGAAGCAATAATAAACTGTTTAGTTTTCATCTTTGTTTTTTTAAACTTAAAAATTCCACTTTATGCAGAGGATGTTGCGCGTGGTGTGGCAGTTATTGATGATGGACGTTCCGTTAAATGTGTTTGAGAAACTGGTCTTACCATAGAAGGCCCGGACTTGACGTCTTGACGTCGGAGTTAACACAACCACAGGCTGACCGTTTTTTGACTGAGAATTTTGCAAAACCGGCACCTTGCTGTTGTTCAAGCGATTCAGCAGATCCACGAAGTTCGAGGTGCCCAAATTTCTGAACGCACTGCTCGAAGAAGATTAAATCAGTATGGACTGATGGCTTTTCGACCCGAAAGAGGACCAGATTGATCAGAACACACAGAGTGGCACGGCTCACACTTGCTCGAGAACACTGGTTTGGACGATTGGTCTGCTGTATGTTTTGTAGATGAACGAAGATTGCTCTACGATCGCCAGATAGGGGTGAAAGAGTGTGGAAAAAGCGAAATGAAAGGTACGAAGCCCGTAATTGTTCCCAGAGCCGACCTTTTCAACTTAGCTCAGTGATGGTGGAATTTTCAATGGAGAGTAGCACAGAGTTGGTTGTTGTTTGTGGAGGGTCATTGACGGCCACTCGCTATGTGGATGAACTTTTGGAATATCATGCGTTGCCTATCCTCGAAGAAATCAGCGAAATCCTATTCTAATGCACGATAATGCCCGTCCACGTGTCGCTCGCATAGTACAAATGTACCTTCAACAGCATAACATCAGGGTCTTAGCCTGGCAAGCCAGTTCTCCAGACTTGAACCCCATTAATGCGATAACCTCAAAAGACGATTACGAGCACGGCCATCACTTCCAGATGCACTCCACGTTCTTGAAAGTTCTCTTCGTGAAGAATGGTCTAACCTCCAGCAAAGAGACATTTCCAGACTGGTTGAAAATATGCCAAGGCGACTTCGAGATGTAATCAAGGCAAGAGGAGTACGCGATATTCAAATGTTAATTAATAATTTAAAACAAAATTACAACAAATTTTATCTCTTCTTCTTTTTTAATTTTCCTTAGCAATTTACTTTTTTTAACTTTTTTAGACAAATACTCAATTAACAATTAGTAAACGTTAAGTGCAACTTTGATTAATACATTAAAATATATACTAAATTACAAGTAAGCGGAATTTTTTCTTGTCAGTTTATATTACAATTTATTTAGCTGTAACCTGCTTTTCGAGCATTTATTTTAACTTTTGCATACCATGGAGCAATTCTGTATATTAAAAAACAGATTACATTTTGTCTCTCCTTTATGGAAAGCAATTTTCAGTATAGACACTTTCTAAAAGTCTTAACGTGTCAAATATTATTCACAAAAGAACAAAATATGTTACATACTTATAATTTTATTAAACTACATGAAATATTACATTGCTTCAACTTTACTGATCCTCTCATTGTAATTTGCGAAAGTACCTCGTTCCACTATGTCATGTGGAAATTAGCAGGTGTAGTATACATTTTTTCAGTTAAAAATTGTGCCTGGAGACGATTACTTGGAGCTGGGTGTAGGTGGCCTGTTTCTGGCAATTTAGATTGAAACTTATGCGGTTGAAATGGTTGGTTGGCTGGTCTAACTTGGAACCCCGAAGTTAGTAAATCTGGGAAAGTCGTGAGAGACATGCGACAATAAGTGCTTCCCTCGAGGCGATCTAGTACCTTTTAGCTATTATTTGCTTCTAAACGTTAACCACAAATTGGAACTGTTCAACTGTTGGACTGCTTGTTTCCGTTTTATGTTTAGCACAAAATTTCCATTTAACCATGTGTTGGGCGGACGGTTAAAGTAAAACTATTAGTACTGGTGAACATCAAAACTCCGTTATAAAGCCAATTCAATATGAATTTAATTTATTAAATAAGTACATTTATAATTGATAATAATTATATATTCACACTACTAATATATAAATTTATATTTAGGCAGTTGACGCTATCAACTTGCAACATCTACAACAGCACACACGATAAAACAAGGTGCTATGCATTCATTTTCTAGGTAATAATTTCAAGCTCAGTTTAAGTGTTATTTTCGTTTTCTTTTATATGTTGTGTGTTTTAAATACATGGTTAAAGATAAAGACTTCCTTGTTGCTGTTTTCTTAAGCGAAGACCAGGAAATAGGTGTAGAATATTTCCTTCTATGCTAGGAACGTGTTTATAAATCATAAAAAGTGTTTATCTTAATACTTGGGGACTTCTGTCTGCCGTAGTTTTGTGTAAAATTTATCCTTTTTGTACCCAAATGCTCATTTAAGTAGGATTTGACTGTAAGTTATACGACATTAATAAAGGAAGATGTAACGTACAAACATAATTAGCGAGAAAATGCGGACGAAAAGATCAAATAGAGGATAAAGTTAAAGAGGAACAAGCATGTAAAAATGAACAATAAATATCAAGTTTTACCTGTTGGCTTTCGACTGTAAAAATATTTCGTTATTTTAAAATAACATCTTACTCTAACATGTATAATCAAATATTAAAATAATTAGTATATATTGAAAATACTTATTAGAGACTGTAAGTTTTTGCTAAAACAACCACGAAACTGGCAACCTCACAGCTACAGTTAGAGAGGAATAAACTCTGTGGAGTGATAGGACTATTTATAATAATAATAACAATAATAATGCTTTATTGAACTGAAAAAAATTGACAATTACAAAGCATTTAAGACATGGATCTTGGATCCGTGTGCCAGAGGTCATTGGTTAAACAATCAGAAACGAAAAAATACACAATAAAGTAAGATAATAATTATAGCCTAGGCAATAAATGGAAAAAATGAGAAAGAAAGAATAGAAAAATAGGTTATACAATACAAATCAAAAATTGATAAGACTATTGATCGACCACTGGTCATTGGCATCTGAGAAAACATCTACGCAATGAAGGTATATTTCAATGATGACCTCATTTGCAGGTTATGCTTATAATTGTGTAATGAGGTTATGTTTATAGTATACATTGGTTTTCATTAAGACTAATGGATGTTGTACTATTCAATGATTTTTAGTGGAGACAAAATGCAGTTTGGTTAAGTAGCAACTTATACAACATTACTAACACAGCTTTTTTTATATTCCTTTACAATTTTCTTGGTTTTATTATTCAGCATTATGGACCTAAATTTTTGCTAACCGTCAAAACATAATACTATATTAATTACCGTCCAAAATTGAATAATGGACATTAATTTATTCTGTTTCACTAAAACATCGTGTTTTACGTTATTTACCTTCCTAACTGTGATATAAACAGTGAGGGTACAAAACAATTAGTGTGTTTGTAGTATGTTCGTTGAGTAGGCGTATTTACCAACAGCTTGGTTCTCATTATTTCCTGATTTTCAGCCTGTTTAATTAGAGCCTGTAATATGATTTATGTTTTCTATCTGTTAAGCCCGCCAAACGCAGATTGCACGGGTCCCCCCCCTTTTATTTGAAATGTAAATTAAGGCTAAATATTCTGCCCGGCTCAAAGAACTGGATTTATTGCTATCAAGGACCGATGAACCGAGGGATTAAACAAAACTCGACTCAAGTTCGGCTAAAGAAGTTTCCGCCCAAAGCCTCTGCTCTCGTATCTTCGTATAAAGGGATTTTCCCAAATAATCTACCACTCTGTCTTGAGCATACTAGACGGGGAGAATGCAAAACACTAACATATGGCTGATATTCATCTTAAGTTCTCCATATTTAACGAAACAATCTTAAAAGAAAAATGTCTTACAATAAGTAAACTATTTTGTACATGTGAACAATGATTTCTATTTTCTCTCTCTTTTATTATATTTATTTTACAAACTGCATGCCAAGTGCAACAAACTAAAATTATGGTATTTCCAAGGATATACACATACACATGCACAGAAATAATACTGTATGCATTCACATGTCAGGCATGATTGATTTGAACGGCCACCATCCTGTGAAAGTGGCTGTAATTAGCCATTATGGCTGGCGTAGACTGCAGAGCCTAGAGTTGCTTATGTTAAACTGTCAGACGGTCTCGCGGCCACCTGCGTTTCGGTTTTATATGAGAGTTGGAAGAAAGGGTTGATTAGGACAGGTTGTGAATTAATGTGTTGTCATGAAAGAATAGTTTGAAGTGAAATTTATTGTAGCGGGAGTGAGCCAGTTTTGGGACGTATGTTGAGATCGGAGTGGATAATATGATCGGTGATGTAGAATGGATCAACTTGGAAGGATTTTGGAGGGTAGAGTTTGGATTTTATTACGATTGGAACGCTTAGCTGGAACGCCTTACAGTTCAATTCTGCAAGTCCAAATTGGGGAAATTAGGGCAATTCTTTTGTTACATAATCTTAGTTTAGTTCTTTTGTCAGATATTCTCTTCGCATTTTATATATAAGGTCACAATCAATTTGTTTTAGTCTTGATGAGGATTACATGTACGTTTTTGCCCAAGTCAAGTCCAAGATATCGTATACTATTCGCTAGAAGAATTGTATTTTTTTCTATAGTTACATTTTCATCCCAAAACACTTCCTCCTGCGGGCAATTGTTGATAGGTGTATT